AGTCTGGTAGACCTCAGTGAGTGGCGTTACTGACGTGGTTCCAGTTGCTGCTGCACTGCTGGTATGTTTTGATATTGTCGTTGTTTGTTTTTGTTGTGGTTTTGTTCCTATTTGTGACATTGTTGTTTTATTCTTTGTCTGTATTGGAATTGCTGTTGTTTCAGTAGTTGTGAATGTAGTTTGTTGTGTTTGTTTTAGTGTTGTAGTTGTTATTTCTGAACATGGTATATATTTACAGCATAATACTCTGATTTGGTAATTGAAGCATTTCTTATCTTCTTGGTCTTCGTTATTGCATTTCAATTCAGTGGTTTTATTGCATTGTATCTTTTGGTCATGATACTTTATTGTCTTATCTGAGTGTTCACGTACTCTGCATTCAATGCTGCTCGTGTTATTACAAGTGCTTTTTCCTTGTCCTGTGATATATTGAAAGGTTTCCTCTTCATTTTCAAGCTCCGTCCCATCATACCATTCTGACCACTCACATATATACTTCACGCATACACTTCTTGCTGGTGTTGTGGTTGCCATTTCTGTATTTCAAAGAAAGAAATATAAGTTTTGTTTTCTTCTACTGAGGAAAATGTCATTAAAAAAAGTTATTCAACTTCCATGCATTTATTGCTCTACGTAATATTTGCATGTTAATATAGTATTTTAATGAACTTGTTTCGAGTATCTTGATTTTCAATTTTAATATAGGTTTTCATCTCATCTCTTTATTCCTTTTCTCATTTTTATTCTCATTATCACTATCCACTTACTATTGCATAGCTACATAAATATACTAGTTTTAAAATATTTTAAAAAAATAATGAGTTTCCTAATTATTTTTAGTATTATGGCATTCATTTCTAAATTTATTATATAAACAGGTAATGTTTATTTTATTTATATAATATATTATGGAATACATATTGATATTTCTTATTTTAATGAGATTTCTGTTCAGTATGTTAGCATTATGGAAATGAGTGTATGAAGCATATACCCATTCCGTCACATGAATGTTACAACCACTTAATAGAAGACTTAAATTTGATTGTACAGTTCTTGCTGTAGTATTCTGTAATTGTGATGAAATACTTCTCAATTTCTCTCAATTACATGGTCAGTATGAGTTCACTGCTGGAAAATGTAGATGTTCAGGTTATTAAAGATGATCAGATTGGAAAGATTCCAAAAAATGGTTTAAAATAATTCGAGCATTCCCTCAAAATTATTTTATCTTCTGTTTATGCTATTGTGGTCAGTAATTTTTGAAATGTCAGTAATTGTCTTTTGTGTTGGTCTAGAATTGCTGTTTTTTATTTGTAGGGAAGTGAGATTCTGAAAAGAGCAAAGACAAGTAAGTTTCATCATTTTTCCACTGGAAAAACAAACAAACAAACAAAAAAAAAACAGTAAAGTAGTGGAGACTGACTTTGTGAGAAATGCTGTATTTTTTATATATATTTTTAAGCAATTAAAGCTGCCAATTGAGTTGGTTGCTTCAGAAGTCAACAGTTTCAAATAAAAGTATGTGCTAATGGCTCATCCCCTTTAGGCAATTTTCAATCCCTCCTAGAGATTTTTCAGTTATTTTGAAAAGTATTCATGCATACCTGTTGTAGGTTGACTGGTAGAAAATGTAAATGAGGTACTTGGGGTGGTTGTGATTCCACATTCAAATATATTTCTGCTTATTGTTCCATTGACATCACATGTTGCATGGAAACACCATCCACTTCCATCTGTGGTGTTGTAGATGAGTTCATTATATTTATAGATGTTGTTTTCATATATGCAGTTACATGCTGTAATTGATAAGATTATTGTTGGTCACCTATGAAAAGATAGTATCCTGTATCTAAATTTTTCACAGTGCTTCTTGGCTGTCTTACCTTTATCATCAAACTTGCACTGTAAACCTTCTGATGTGCACTCGCTAAAATAAAAAGCATAAAATACACTTATTTTATTATAAGCTAATTGTACCGCTATCATCTTTCTGCCAGATTCTAGCATCAAGAAATAGAAATAGATAATTGTGAATGACAACTTAGTTGATTTATATAATAGCATTCAGATGGGCATGTTGCCTCAATTCCAGCTAAATAACAATTGTTCATTCCACATTACTAAGGCCCTTTTCACACTGCAGAACTATCAACATACAGCCTGAATAAAAATAGGTCTTAATTTTTTCTTTCTTATAGTGTGGATCATCGTCAGAACTGACTGCATCATGGAAGATCCCCTCCTTACCCATTTCATTCTGTTAACATCAATTCATATGTGTTTACTCCTTGAGCACCCAGTTTATGTTGATTCTTTTTCTTTTTTTTTTTTTGCCATGGTTTTCCTAAACCTTTCTTTACATTTAACCCAAGCTTATACATAAAGTGAAATTAAAGATTATGCAAAGTTATAAGTGCAAGTCTTCAGCAGAGCCATGTATAATTTTCCTTGCATTTGTTTTTATACCAAAAAAAAAAAACCAAACACGTTAAGAAGGGAGAGTCTTAAGTACTACAAGCATGCTCTAAGAATGTAATAAATCCTTGGAAGTAGACCCCTTAGTAGATATATATACTTCTGGAATGATATTTTTTCCCGCCATAGCAATGGAAAATAGAGGAAGCTTAGTCTCAAAGTACTTACTGTTTTTGTTGTATCATTGTGCTGAGGATTTACAACATAATTATGATCAAATTCAACAGAACAAAAAGTGTAATAGATCCTAATAATACTAAATAGTAAGAAAGCTGGTACTGGGTGGAAAGGCCAGGCAGCATGAAACTCACTGTCTTGTGAAACAGGAACATTTAATTTCCCATTGTTGGTTTAGTCAGTTTTTCTTGTACACAATTAGATTGGTGTGTTAAGCCTTACCATAATTGACATTTATCCCGCATATATATCTTTCCATCTTCATTATCATAACAGTCACAGAGACTGACACACTTCATCTGATCCTCATGAAAATATGGCTTGTCTGGTGGGCAGTTGGGGTAGCAGCCTGAAACAAGGAAAAGGGCATATACAAGGTTGAAAAAGTGTGAACAGAGAAAATCAGGAAAAGTTTTGTTTGTGCAAGATGTGTTTGCAGGTTGTGTTTTTAACAGCAATAATTTTTACTACTATTTTTTTCCAGTAATTGTAAGAAGTAATGCAGAGCATTAATGTTAGCAGAGGACTTAGCCACAGATGTTTTCATGTGTGCTTTATCTCCATTCATGCTGATGCAATGATGTTGAAGAGAATTAAATGATGAGAAAGGCTGATGGAGAAAACAGGTTCCATTAAAGACTATTCAAAAGATTATAAACAAATTTATCCATTTAAGGGTAACTTGCAAGCTCTTTTTACCTTCTAAACCTGGCAAGTTATGGAGGCATTTTCCACTTGGGTTCCTACAGGTCTTCATACAGGAGGCTCCACAAGGCTTATAGTGCCATTCACATTCTCCTTGTTGATTATAGTAATCACAGAACAGTGCTAAAGAGAAACATAAATTTGAACACGTTCAGAAAAAAACCCAAAACTCTTCTGAGCCATGTCTGTTAGATTCCTACCATGCTGCCTTAAACAGCCTTGAAAACTGAATGAATAGGTGAAATGTGTGACCATCAAAACCCTTTGGAAAGTACACAGTGCAATTATAATTCATGTACATGAGGTACACAGAATATATGTTCAAAGATAGCATCAAGGAATTGCTGTATACTTTACTACACTTTCAGAAGAAGTGTATAGAAAATAAAACTCACGACAAATTGATGGGGTTCTCCAGGCTATACAGACACCAACTTCATTACATGCTTGAGCATAGGCAGCTACTGCTGTACAAAAACAATCACAGTCTCCTCCAGAGTCACAGGCACAAGCATCTGTCACACAGGCTTGATAATATCTTGCTGGTTCAATCTGTCATAAAAAAATAAGTATTACATTATACATTCTTCCTTCTAAGTTTTGTCAACTTTGCTAGACTGATTTTCTTAAAATTAGGATCTCAGAAGGAAGGCCTGTATCAGTTATTTCTTTTGTTATGTTTATATACACTGTTAGACACCAGACGTAATGCCAGATAATAATTCAAATTACATATTGACATAGTTTTAGACGTCTAGACTTGTGTCCCAGTGAAAGATTGGTTTCATGTTCCCAAGCTGTACTAGGCAGCCATAACCTGAAGATCTCTAGTAGTGGAAAGAACTAAGGTAATAGGAGCAGCACAAAATTATCCTGCATTGTTGATGTGTACTGGCAGTTAATGCTGCCTCATTACTACCCCAAAATGTTACTTCATTGAATTTGTGTTCATTACATGGTATGTTTTATCCAAGTTACACCATATGAAAGTATGTAGTAATTCTGAAATTATTGTTCTTTCCCAACAAGTTAGTATCATTTTCTATGATCTATATAGCCTACTATTTCTTACAGGTAGGGGCTATAGATCTGTTTGACTGTTCAAGATATAGGCTGAAGTTACACAATTCAAAGTGAAACATGCTGTCTAATGAATTAAACATATATGGTAAAGTGTATGAAGATTCAGTAACAGTCAGGCCTAATCTTCACAGAGTCAACTCCTGCCCTGGTGATACCTGTGAGTGACAGGCAGCAAAGACATTGCTGTTGATGATGCTACACTGCTTCTCTGACCAGGACTTTCGATAAGGGTTGGTAGAGCATGGGTCCTTTAAGAAGTGAGCATCAGGACATGTGGAGGATACTTTCCAGCTGTTTCCGAACTCTAGGACATTCTCCACTACAGACAGACTCCTTGTAGTGAAGTCATTGATGCCATTGCCATCATAATTTCCACAGAGGCCACAGATCCGACCCTGCAAAAGGAAAAAAAAATTATGATGGATATGAGAAAACAAAGATCTGAAACTGAAAGAATACATGAAATTCAGCTCTTAGAGTGCCATTCTATTCTAACTTTCCCGAAGATTCCCACTGAAGATACATTTTAGGTTTAGATACTCTGGAAAAGCAGCCATCTGTTTCCTCAGCAACAGAACATGACCACCAAGGCTACAAACAGCTACAGACTTTCCTTTTTTTAAATCTGAACAGTACAACTGTCTTGATCATTTTATCCATTTTTGAGGACATATCAACTTTGAGGTACATCCTCTTAACATTTAACAAAGGAAATGAGGACTCAACTAGTTGACCATGCTACAATGCTTTTCATTTATGCTTTGTTTTATACAATGGATGTTCATACAAAAGCTGTCATAAGTACTGCCAGTACATCCATGTAACTTACTCGTTAAGTCTACTGTGATGACTGCTGACAGATAGAAAAATAAATGACATTTTCCTTGCATTTCCAGAAATATCTCATTCCAAATTTCGATATGTGAAATGGTGATAGGCTGTAACAGATGCTAAGCTTTCTCTGTGGATTCAAGGATTATACTCTGTCCATGCTTTGTCCCTTGTTCACATATATACTTGAAAAATATGTAACATTTTACTTAGTATTTTACTTCCTTGTTTTTTGGAGTACAATAATTTGGATTTATGTGTGAATGTGTACTGGAAACAATAGATGATTTTTCAAAATCAGGACTACTGAATTGATTTCTACACATGTAGCTATGTAATCTTAGTAAAGTCTGATAAGCTTTACCAAGATTCACAAAGTAATTTTAACAAGTACAGTCCATAGCAGCAGTTTACCAACTCAAGTTCTGTCAGCCAGATAGAAACTGAACACTGCCTTGAGCACTCCGAAGAGTAGCTGCATTTTTACGTGTCTTCCTAAGGTACCAGAGGAATAGAAAATGACATACGACGTCCTCCAGGAATGCTAGAGAAATCACCTGTTTGGGATATTGTTTTAGTCAGATAAAAAATTAACACCCAGTCTAGATCTAGACTACTAGTTCCGCACCTTAAATTCAGCGCTCAGCTTGATGAAGATGCTGGTTTTCTTGTCCCACATGAGGATCAGTCCGCTGGTGGTATCAATCACTGTGTACATACCTATGTAACGGACTGTGAATGGTACTTCACCACCTTGTCCTCTCTGTATCACACTGACACGCTCCTCATTGAGTATCAGTTCATAGTGCTGAAAACGGAGGAAAAGGTGATTAGAAATGAACCTAATAGCTACAGCTGTGCTACTGAACACTTTTTTCTCCACTTTTAAGAGTACTAAAACCAGTTTGTTTAATGAAAAATACATCATCCAAATGTAATGTGGTTCAAATCTCAGGTTCATGGAATTGTGGTAAAACTGTATTTTAAATGGAGCAGATTGTTGATGAAAAAATGATGTCATGGTAGTCATGGAGGAACTACAGTGCACAGAGTAAGAAAATCTTCTGATGTGATCAGCCAAAATTTTGCTATGGGCAGTTTTCCTCTAGAGCTGTAGTTTGTCCAAGGGTAAGTATAAGACAGCTTTGTGAGGCTGGAATAGGCGGATAGCAGGGAAGCTGCACCAGATACTTCACCTGATTCTGGCTTAAGCTTAATTTACAAGTTGATCTGCTTTTTAAAATATTTTCTCTAAACTTCCTTGCGGCAACAGATATCCTGATTTCTCCCAAGCTTTACACAGATACTGAACAAAAACCCCCTGGTCTGTAATGTAATACCTACATACCTCTAAGAAAACTTTGATAGATTTTGAGCAAGTTGTCCCAGTGCTGCCGCAGGGAATATTTTCAGTGATAACCTGGAAGGTCCCATTCACTGTGTCACTCTTCCCGCAGTGGTTCTGAGTAGTAAAATTAAAAGCATGTTATTGTTTCAGATAAGATCAAGATTATATTACAATGTAGTTTTGTTAAGTAACAGTACCCGGACTAACGTGTATTCGCAGTTTCCACTGAAGCTGAATGTCTGGTCATCAAAGGTGGTATAATGTCCATCTCCGTAAACAGCACACGTGCCCAGGCATTGCTTTTTGGTGCATTCCCACATCCTATTCTTGCACACACTAGGAAAGAGAATTAAATGTTTTAGTAATAAAGTAACTCACTGTCTTATGCAGACATTTCCCAAAAACTCAGCATTTGTTTGGCATCTCATTCTTGGTAAATGTTATATTGATTCTGAAGTTAAAACAGTCTTTTACATTTCCCATGTGAAGTAGTAAAGCGAAGTTCTGTTCTTCTATTCCAAAAGCATGAACTGCAAAAAAGGGTAAAATGTAATGGACACCATCCTCCCAAAGGTTTTCTCCCAGTTTGTGCCTCAGCTGTCTACCTGCAACAAAAGTTGCTCATCTTTCTGAGTCAAAACTTAAAAGACCCATCAATTGATGTAATGCACAGTCTAAATCTCTCCTCACTACTGTACACCTTAAGATCTTAAGGCAAATGATGGAACCAGGCATGCAACCTTCCAGAAAATACTTACCAGGTATTACAGTCAGCATTGATCTTTTCCCCGGGTTGATACATGGCTCCATTGTGAATACATGGACATTCCTCTTCAGGAATACAACCACCCTTCCCATCTAACACAAGTCCAGATGGGCACACACAGCCAGATACACACTGTGTGCTATACTGGAAAGGTCAAGAGGAAGATACAATTTCAGAATAAAACAATCACACTAGAAAAACAAAGATTAGATCAACTTAAAATGTCTTTATATGTTCTATTTCTGCCCAACTTAAATAAGAGAAGACTGATGTATTTATAGGTCTCTAGAACAAAGACGAAGCTATTAGCATATAAAGCTGCTAAACATTAGATGCATTCTGATCCTAAATGCATTTGTTCCAGTCTGTGAAATTTGAACTATACCGGATCTTAAGACTTGCTCTGTGTTAGCTGAAGAAGCCCTATGCTTTGTGATGGATGACTTGTGATTGAATGAATGGACTTTAAAAAGAAAATAAGTAAATTTAGTTTGAGTGAGTTGCACTGAAAACAGATGCATCTCTTATGGTACCTATTCATGAAATTACGCATGGCTATCGTGCACCTAGACAAAGATATAATTAGATGTGCACTATCATTGGAAAGAAATGATTGCTCCTAGCCAGCCTGCAGCAAGTAATTTTCTCTTAAGGAAGTAAAATATGCGGCAAAGCTCTAAATATTTTCACTACTAATTACTCTTACTTCGAAAGACTTGAACTGTTACAACACTGTGTAAGACATAAAAAGAAATACTTCATATTATATACACACATGTTTCTGTTCTTATACTTGATCCATTTTTGTGTCATGAATTTTCACACAAATCCTGTGCTGAAAGTCAGAAAGCCATCACCTTTTTCAATTTAGTCAGATGAAACAGTTACAAAATGCTAGCTCTAATGAGGATGATTTGAGAAGTAGCTGAAGAAACTTTGATACTTATAAAAGTGGAATGTTACTTTGTTAAATTTTATTCTCATGATCCTATCGTTAACACTTCATAACGTGTTTTGGGGATTTTAGTATACAAAGTATCTGTGATGTAGATTCAGACAAGGAGAGTTAGATCAATGATGACTGTAGCACAAAGATGACAGACAAAACTTGAAAGTACCATTTCATCTAGCCATGACATACTTACACACTGCATATCCAGAGTATGACAGCTTTTTTGACACTCTGATCCAGTTGTTCCTGCTGTGTTGTTTCTACAGTCTAAGTAGAACATGGGAGATTCACAAACTAGAGGAAGGAAAGAAGTGAGAGAAGTAAGAAATGGCTGGGGGTTTATCACACAGCTGTAGAAATAAAAGCCATCTAGAAATTGTTTGGAATTTGTACATTTCAGTTAGTAAGGACTGCTGTCCCTACTCAGTCTGCTAAATAGGAATCCAATTGTAGATTCACTTCAGAGCACTGAATTCCCAGAACCTTCCACAGTATATCAGAAAAAAATCCTTTAGAACAGATCTTCTCATGAACCTAGGGTTACTTCTGCCTTTTATAGTATAGAAATACTTCTATTATTTAAAAATCCATTAAGAAATATCAATTCTACCAAATATTTCTGTCCAGAACCTGGCACAGAGAAAAAGACAAGTGCAAGTGGAAGACTTTTTTTTAACCTGGAATTTGATCGGGTTCTCCAATGCAATTCAGTTTTCCCTGGATGCAAGTGCTGTAAGAGAGGGAAAAACATTAACTTTTAACCATATATTGAGACTGAGAGCTACCTCTGTCAAATTTCAGTACTTTATAAGGAATTAATTGAATTCCTGAATACTATTTTACAGACCCAGGGAAGTGTTTCTCTCAACACCACTACCAATTACGCTTTCATAATAGGAAAAACTAGAGTTTGAAATGGATATATTTCTGCTTGTAACTTACTTTCTCTTAAGATTTCTCTTTGCTTTTTCTGTCGTGTGTTTTGTGCTTGAAAACTCATAAAATTAAATAGAAAATACTCCTATATACAATTGCTCTATCAATCTGGATGTATATATTATTCTTAAAAGTTTTTTAAAAATGTTTATGATATTACTATATTGAAATTCACACAGGACAAGGTGAGAACAATTTAAATGAAGCTTATTTAGGTAATAAAATGCACATACTATTGCTTGAACGTTTTTTATAAGCTTCCCTTACCATACAAGCCCATTTTCACGGACAACTTCTCCAAGTGGTATGGGAGATCCTCGGTAGTAACAGGGGCATTCATCAGCAGGCACACATTTGCCACTTTCGTCCATGTAGGTTCCATTTATGCAGGTGCAGCCATCAACTGGGACAAACTTAATTTTGCATGTGATATCAGGCTCACTTAGAGAGCGACACGTGGGTTGGCATGAATCGATGTTATAGCTGTAACTTAGGGATTTGGGACATGAGGTGGTGTACTTTGCTTGAGAGAGTAAAAAGGAAGAATGAGTTTGTTAATTCCAGATGGTAATTTTTGTTGAGAAGAAAGAAATGGTACGTAGTAGCAGTAACAGGTGAACAATAATATACACCTCTGCCTATGCTCTATCTTTCACATCAATGTTTTTTCTGAATTTTTCCAGAATTAGAAGTGAAAGCCACTGTATGTGTAGATTAAATCAAGTCATATATGCTATAAGAAATGTATTTTCTTCAAATGAGAGTTTGGAAAGAAACTTCCATTCGGTGCTGCTATTTCATTTTCCTAGTTTTCTGGTTAGTATTACTAATATTATTATTCTAATGTATCATATTTATCTCTATGACACTGTGATATAGAAAACTATAGTTGAATTCAAAGTCGTGCAGAAACAGGTGGAGGCGTGTCTGTAACAGCAAGCTCTCTCCCATCTGTTTATATTTATTCTTGCTTTTAATGGATTGAATCTAAAGGAACAGCAGGGAATTACATCTAGGAGTGCATTTAACAAAATCCCTTCCTTGATACTTACCATATTTGTCTAGAAATCAATATATTTTTTTTTTTTTCACCAACACTTTTTATTGATGAGCGCACAGGAAAGGAAATAGAGAAATGTACTCACAACAGACATTAGTCCTCCACCCATTTATTTGGATTCCTCTTGCAGCACAAGCTCTCACATAGGAAGAAAGGGATGCGCACAGACAGCCCTCACTGTTTTGACAGTTGCACGTGTCAAACATGCAGTTCTAGGAATGTGAAAAAATATAATCTCAACACTTCTAAGACTATCAACATCTGGGTCATTTGTAATGAGAAGGAAGACTGACAGCACACTGATAGTGGAATGATGATAATTAGCCAGCACACTGATAGTGGAATGATGATAATTAGCCAATGGGCTTTCTGTGCCAAGTAGTTAATAATAAAGTGGGGTTGGTGAGGTGGCAGTTAACTGTAATTTTCAAATAACCATTTAACATGCCTTTGTGCTAACCTCCTACCCATATAAGTATATCCATCCAAGAAAAAATAGCTGCCTTTGCATTTGGAATGACAAAACCAAGACTGACAACTGAAATAAGATGATGCCACAGCAAAAACAGCAATATGTTGAAAGAAAGAAGTGCAGTATAGAAATGAAAATGCAGGTATTGCAAAAGACTAGAGATATGTCTGGGACAGTTTTTTCCTGGTAGCTAGTTGTACATGATCCTATTTCTATTGTTTCTGAAGAGAAACCAGTCTACCAACATACCATGTAGTAAGTAGAGGGACTCAGTAGATAATGACAATCAGCAAAAGGTCCTTCTCTGTCAGTTAGTAGCCCACACCAATGCTTAGCATATTTTTCTGTTGAAAGAACAAACAGTGCAAATATGCACATTACTTTTTTAATTCATTAGTCCCATTACCCACTTTCCTAAAATGCGAAACTAGTTTTGAAATTACATCTAATCTCTCCCCTCCTGTCTGTTTTCACTCAATTTGTGCTCTAAGGTTATTAAAACCAAAGGTACAATGAAATAAGAGTTACCAAAGATCACAAATAAAGAATTTCCAAAGATGCTCATGTGATCCACTCTTCTGATATCAAGCTGTGAGCTTAGACATTCTGTTTTCAGTGATCACACAGTTTCTTTCAGTTATGCCTCCAGGACTCTTCCTTTACTTCTTTATATAGCCCTCATGTTCTCATTGTGAATATTCTGATTGCAGATGTATGTTTTCACCAAATACATAATTCTTCATTCTCTTATATTTGCTTTTTAACAGTTGTGCTTTTCTTAGTGATAAGAAAATTTTTAAAAATCTTTTTCTTAACAAAATAATTTTATGAAGCATTTACCATTATCAATGCTGAGTGCACAGGGGTTCTCAAAGATGTGCTGGATATCAGGGCAAGAAGCCTGAGTTTTCCATGTATTAGCAAATGCTGCTGCTGTTCCTTCAACTACTCCACTTATGGCCTTAAAGTCATCAGTTTGGACATTATTGAAATTTCCACAAAGACCTGTTGAAAACCAGTGAAAAGTTTATACTGTTTGTACTCAACAAAAGACATTTAGCAAGATGTTCTTCAGTTTCATTCACTTACCACAGGTTTGGTCTTTGAACACAGGGTCCAATCGCACAAACATTTGCATGATGGGTGTGATCTGGATTTCAACCTGGATACCAATATTTGTGTGCACGATGATGAAGAATGATGAAGGTCTAAAGATGGTGACATTGGCTAAAAAAGAAAAAACAGAAGATTGCTTTCTAGAGGAGGTTAAATGAGAGACAGAGTATATCATGATATGAAGGCTGCTTTAAAAGTAATGCCTCCTATTTTATGACATTGCCCACAACATCAGAGGTGAATGGTAGAGAAAAAATACCTGCTGAGATTGGCAGCTGGGTGTAGATTGAGTTCACAAACACACCACCATCACTTTTGACCTCAACGAGCTGTTTAGGAAGAGGAACAACAGGTAAAAGAGTAATAATAGTGATGGCTCCGGTGATATTACTTAAAGACCTATTAATTAAAAGGGGCATTTTTGTGACATCATCTCACTCTTTCCACTTTGTGCACTTACACTAATTTTCCTGGCCAAGGAAAAAAAGGTTTTTGAAGAGTCTTTCTCAACTGATTAGTGAATTTTATCATCTTGGTTTCTATGAATAAAACTTTATGATGAATTACACCCATTGCTGTTGTACTTGTAGCTTCTAAATTACAAGTTTATGTGTTTTCATCTAATTGGCAGAAAAAGAGCTTTTTCAGCTTTTTCTTAATGAACTTCCATAAAGCCAAATCTACTATTTCGTTTTCACAACAAAACTAGTTTATTTTCACATGATAAAAATCTAATGTACTTATCCCATGTGTGGAAATAAATAAATGTGCAGGTCCCCACCCAATAATGGCCTAGATGCTTTGGTCCCCACGTCATTAATAGTTTTTTTCTCATGCTTATTTTGCATTCTTACCGTTTGTCCTTTATTCAAGCTGAGGGTCACTGTCCGTAAGCATGTTTCAGTGCTTGTCATGCCACATTTGCGTAGTTCTACCAGGATGGTGAATATTTCATCTTCACAGTGCTGAAAATAAATAAAAATCCCAACAGTTATTCAATGAAAGGCTAATTACAAAAGCTGTCCCTGTCAAAGTCTCTCTTGTCAGGGAAATAGTAAAAATGAGTAATTTTCTTTTTTTTTTTTTAGACTGAATTGTGCAAATGGGAAAAAAGAAAGCATAGAAGAATCAGATCAAAAAGGTCAAACCATTTCACTTACACATTACCGTAACAAAATGTTCTGATTATAATAAATTTTTTACTTCTTTATTTCTCTTAACTCATTTTTATAATGGTTCAAAACCTAAATGGAATGTATCAGTTGACTTGATCTGATTTTTCTTTATTTCTGCTTCCAAGAAAGAAATACTTATTAGATACAGTTAACAGGGCAAAGTTATTTAATCCAGTAAAACAGCTGGAACAATTATGCAGAAGAATGTATATTAAGCAATACCTTAAAAAGAGAATAGTCTTCAGCATTTATTGTACGACAGAACTGGAAGTTCCCTGGAAACCACAATTTACTGTTGCATGACATCCTAATATTTAGCTGATAACTAAATCATTTGAATGGCAGAATACATTCCAGTAAGTGTCTGATTAACTGAAGCAACTCAATATACATACGTCAGAAGACTTAAGTTTTGAAGATGTTGATTGAGATTACCTATCCTTTCCACAAGCACATAAGGCTTTATGACCAAGTAATAGTCTCACCTTAGAAAGGACGTAAGTGCAGTCTCCATAGACATCATAATGCTTTTTATCATATGTCGAAACGTGCGAGCCTCCCTCTACGGAACATGTTCCTGGACATGACATATCTTCACAATTCCATTTGCTTCCACTGCATGTACTGGAAGAGGCAAGACAAACTTAGCTGAAATCAGCAATAGCAGTCTAGACTTACAGAAATTACAATGACATTAGGTTTAGAACTGCTTTTCCCTTTCAATCTATAGTTCAAATACACGGTAAATCCAGGTTTAAGACTTTCTCAAATATTGTGAACATACGAAGTAAAGCATTAAAGGGAGTGACTGTGATATGCATTCACTTTGTTCATTTGTTTCTATTCTTTTTTTGGACAGGTTAACTCAATAGCAACAGGTGCTGGATGAGTAATTGCTTGTCTTCTACAGCTTACATAAAACGTAATGCCAAATTAAAATATCTTCTGTTTTCTTGTATGAATTTATAAGAAACTAAGAGAAATGTGACTCCACATCTACTCCTAGTGAGTAGATAGAGTATGTCTGTTTTCTAAGGTAATGTGGTACTGTACAGGTACAGGATTAATAACTGTGAAACTATGGTTGTGTAGCTTCTCTTATTTTCTTCAGAGAAAATAAATATTTGCAAATACGTAAATTACTGCAACTTCATTCCCTTTAGAGAAGTCCAAATGTTTGAACAAAATAAACAAAGAGGAAGCACTTGAATTCACTGGTGAGAAATCTAAACACTGTAAATCCTTACTTTGATCACCTTGAGCTCAAGTGCAAAGACAGTTAAGGCTGTTGCTAAATAAAAGAAAGAATGTTCGCTGAGGTTATTTTGGAACTGTAGCGGCTAGTTAAATACACAGATCAATTACGATGATGTAATTGCAAACAATAAATCATTAAACCCACTAAATATATTAGAGGAAATAAAGAGTTAAGAAAATAGCAAGAGTTACCAGGAATAGCACTGCTCTGAGAAAGAAGTTCCTGGAGCATAAGTGTTGCCATTGTAAATACAGGAGCATTGCTGACGGGAGATGCAGCCAGAATTGTTTATGTCATCAAAAACGGTTCCTTAAGTTAAAAACAACAACAGCAGAATTTAATTAATTAAAGAGGTACTTTCCATACATGGGAAAAAAATCATTTTTGTTCATTACTAAATGTTGCTTCAAAGACAGATTTGCAGCTGCTGTGAACTGTCATAGATGCATTGAGGACAGTAGGACTATGCCAATTTACAGACTTTCAACCTTTCTATTCTTAAATTCCACCTGCTTTGAAAGGGAGTTATTTTAGTACAGGTGGCTTGCTGAAAGACTAGCTTTGATCTGTTTGCTTTTCTGCTTTCCTGCTTTCTAACTATTGCGTGTGCGCTGGCAATTAATTCCAATGTCTTTCCTCAGTTGATAAACGATAAATACTTATCACTTGCAGCTGTGAAAAATGCAAATATAAGAGCTTTAAGCCTCATGGAATCTGTCTTGTTTATTTTGAGATCAGAAATGTGAGTATATAAGAACTTGCCTTGGGGGCAGAAACAACCATCCATACAGTGCTCTTCACAAAACTGAGATCGTTCAGGATTAGTGCATGTGTCAGTGCAGGGGGAGCTGCACTCCGAATACTGCATGTTGTAAGGACATGTCTTGGCTGAAAGGTTAATAAAAGGAGAGGTTTTTTTTTTCAGTCTGAAGTATTTCTAGTTCACTGTATATGGAAATAAGTATGTTCATTTACATTTTTTCAACTAGATTTAAAACCACACTAAACCACAGATCTATCCCCACTTGTCAAAATCTTTAACTTTACTCATTCAGATCTATGTTCTACAGATGAGATTTGCTTTTCATGACAGTGTGAAGAAAGACTTAACTGATGCCAAAATGACTGGAGTTCTAGGCACATCAAGAAAATGGTTCTGCAAAGCTAGCAAGGTTTCTGTTAAAGGTAGCCTTTTCAAGGACATCCGCATAGCTAGGGAAACGTAAGAATCAAGTTCCTAAAGCTTCAGTGTATTCAGATTTTTCAGATATCCCTTGGAACAGCAAATAGTATCCCAGTGGATTTTAATTTCAAACAAATGTTGGTGACAGTATCAACAGCTACACTAATAACGTGCAGGTGTTTAATTCAGTGAAAACTTCTGAAGATTACAGTGGTACAAACTACTCAAAACCAAGCTAGAGATTAAATGCTACACTAGCCTAAGACCAGTGAAGACTCAATCAATTAATCAACAAGGGTAAAAAATATGGTAGCCACCATAAAAAAAAAGGGGAGAAACAGAAATATAAGTAACCAAATCACTCTCCTTCTTTCTCCTTGTATTTGTTTCCTTTATTATCCCAATTCATTATTTGACCCTTCAGCTCTTGAGTAAGTGTATCCATTTAACTGATAGTGTTTAAGCCACTCTGCATTAAAACACTTAGTTCTTTCTCCTTAGTCTTGTTGCTGGAGCTTATACATCAGAACCCTCACCACGCCTGTAATTTCCAATGCATACTCAGCATTACTTGAGAACTCATTTCTTTTTATTTACCCAGCACAAAATAAAGGCATCTCCACTAATACTTACGGCACAGTTTTGAGGTTCTCCAGTTCAAAGGTTCCCCACCAGCATGAGCACACTGCCGGGAGTACTCAGCAATAGTATCACAGATACATGAGGCATTTTTTAACTCTTCGGAGCGGCACAAGTCTTCTCGGCAAGCCATAATATACTCACTAACATTAACTAGGCCATTACAGTCTGCAAATGCAAAACTGGTCAATGTTTTCTGACATATGTCATCCTGGGGAGAAAAAAAAGACAAGAAAACTTTCAGAAAATAGAAAGCAGCAAATTTTTAGCATTGCTTCTTTGCTAGATTATTCTTTAATAGAATTTCATATCCCTCTTTACTTACTATTGCCCTAGGTCTTTTCCTGTTGATCCCTCTGAAGCTGTAGAACAATACAAATAAATGTGAAAGAAAAATGAAAGAATAATCAGAAAGATACTTACAAAGTCATATGTGCAATTATCTAGTGAGGAAGGAGTTGGGTCTTCACAGTACTCTGTCGGCCCATCCAACTTCTGCATATTCCCAAACTGTAAGGCTGTCATTCTGATATCTGTGCAAAAGAAATTTAATAATGAGGGTTGTGTGGGATTTTTTTGGTCAACACAACTTCCTAATATCTTTTCCTCTTGTCAAGAATTCTTTTCAAGATCAGCTAAGGCAGATAGTTCCCTTGAATTTTTTCATTTTATCATCATGCCTTCCAAAATAAACACTGACATCACTATCTGGAGAAAGAAGAACATTAGAAAAAAATTTTCAGCCTACTACATTTAGGCGCAAACTAAGATTTGAAAAACAGACTGTTTTCAGAAGATAATGAGTCCACGTAGGGAAGAAAGAAAATAATTAAAATAGGGATTTGTACAATGGAGACTGCTGAGAAACAAGGTTTAGGAAAACACTCAAATTGAGAATGGATAAAATAAGAGAGGATTATATATAGACTATGCATATAAAAAGGCAAATGTGGATATATTTTGTGGAACAGGATTAAAAATTCAAAATTCTGACAGCATGTTTAATGGACTCATTAATATAGACAAAAGATCTATTTCCCAAGCTTTTCAAATCAGAATTGATATGTTACTATTAGAATTATTTTTATGACAGAACTGAAAAAACAAATGTATTGACTAGATATTACAACTACATTTTGTTTTACTGGATGTATTTCAATATTTACGTTGTCAGTGAGAAACTGGCTAACAACTTTAGGTATTAAATACACAATATGTTTTTCAACATAGATTGAATCATAGCTTCTGAGTATACTCTTCAAAAGGATAGGAAAGTGGAATGATGGTGATGTTAGTGCTGAAAGATAGTAGAATACATGCTGACAACTCCAGAAACCAATTTCTGATATTTAAAAAACTTACTGTTTGAATAGAACTCATTGTAAACTGGAATGCCACTGAAGTCCCCACAGAGACCACAGGTCTGATTGGCATATTTCTCATGCAGTTCTAACTAAAATGATAGGCAATATGTTGATAAAAGTTAGTATACACATTGTAAAATATTTTCAGGATCATCAAAAACACTTGTACCTGCTGACCCTATTTTTCATCAGAACTATGTAATTTTATTTAGAATTTTAAGCTTGAATTTTAAGCTTATTTAGAATTTAAGCTTGAGGGATAGAATGAAGAGTTGTCTTAGATTTGATTTACAACAAAAACTCCAAACCATTGGTGTAGACATAAATTTTCACTGCAATATCTGTAGAGCACCCAGCCTTTTTCTTTCCATTGTTCAGAAAGAAAATCAAATTCACAGCAAAAATGATGTCCTAAGAGAGAAAAATTCTGCCCAAAAATTGCATTAGAAGAGGTAAGTTAGACAGTGATGGTGTATGGGAACTGCTGAATCATGGCCTGAACCTCTGATTGATGACCTGAGGCAAGCAATGAGTCAGCCACAGAGCACAGGTGAAGGCAATTCACCTGTGCTGCTGGAAGGGGTGGAGCCTGGCTCCACTTCTCCTAGACCCATTTAAGAGCTGGCTACCAGTGGAAATGGTTCTTTTCTAGAAATTCCTCCTCTGGAGTTTTGCAGTGAGCCCAGGATGTGGGTAAGCATTCTATGTATTCTCTTTTTGTTATTGTAACTTGCTTATCCAAACTCTCTGGTTTAGTTCATAATTATAACATCTTTATATTCATTGATTATACAGATGGTAATATATTAATGTTAGTGAAAGTGGTTTTTCAACCTACTTTAAGCAGAAGCCTGCTATCAAAGAGGAGTAAATCCATGTAATTTTCTTTGAGACTACCTGAATGCAAACCTACCTTTCTTAAGGAAAAGCTGATCAACAGTATGCAATGGAAAGGCAACAGTAACTACTAAACAAGCATTAACCTAATCAAAGATTAGCTTTTTGGCTGATCTGAAGGTGCAGACAGGTCCAAGAGCTGTTCTTACCAAGATACTGTCACGCTGATTCCACATAAATACAATATCCGCTTTGCTGACAACTTTCACATAAATGCTGCTTCTCTCTATAGTAATTCCAGCTTGACTGTATGGCAGTTGAACTCTACAGAAAGGTAGAATTAATACTGAATATTTTCTGATCTGGATGTTTGATAAGGAGGAAAAAAAAAAAAAGGCTTGTGCATTCCAGTGTCTTACAAGGATATAATGCAGTTGTGTGGAAAGAAAAGTAATTAAAAAATAAAATGGTCCAGTACCATCAAATGTGGATTTAAATTTGAATCCAACCTCAGGATTTTTCATAGAAATTTTGTTTTTGAGGTAATCTTTAAACGAACAATTGATTTATCGTGACTTGAATTAATAGCAACTTATTCATTATTTCTATGGGTAAAATTATCAGATTTATTGAAGAATGCTGATCTTCTTTCCCCAGTATACAAAAAGTACTTGGCCAACTTGGAAAAAAAACCAAAACATCTGTATTTACCAAACAAATGGTATGAATAGACTCACCTGTTGCTGTTGATAAGGACAGTATCCTTTGTTAGCTCAACAGCTACACCTTCAAGTTTTATGGTAATGCGGTAGATTATAGGAACACTTTCCACCAGCGTACGCCTAATCTGGATGTTGAATTCTTCATAGGGAGTGTTGCAATGGGATGCAAAAACGTAATTGCAGAGCCCAGGGTAGTGGTAGATGTCTCCATCAAAAGTCTTGAAGTGGAAGTTGCCCCATGTGCTGCATACACGGCCATTGTGAGCAGGGTTGGAAGCTGGAAATTTAAAACTAGCTGTAAAAAATGCTTAAAATCCTAGCCTTAACATGGTGAATCAAATTATCTAAGGCTTCACTCTGTCATAGTTTTCCCTTGACCACCTCCCTTTGTTATTTCCACCCATCTATCCATTATAACAAGTCACCATGTATTCATCCTTCATCATCTGTCTGCTGTTCATCACGTATATACCTGTAAATGGTTGTAGTTAAGTTCAAGTAGATTATTTAGTTGTTCACATTTCATACAAGATAACAGTTCAACAATATGCTATGTTTCTTAACTGGCCTCTTTCTCCTCTTATGACTTTGTGACTTCTTTTGCCAGTGCATTTCCCTGTTTGTGCTAAATTCCTTCATATACGTTTTCTAAAACTGAATACTTATTGAACACATTTCATTTACTTAACTTACGTGTTATTACTGGATTTGTTGATGTTTGCTGGATGATTTTTACTTCCGATGAAACTGTAAAAGAAGGAAAAAAAAAAAAATTAAGAAAACCAAATCTAGTACAACAATTCAAAGACTTGCAGCTAAAACTGACCTGGAAAGAAAAGACCGGTGTGCTAATATGACAGTGTTAAGTTTGGTGTTGATTTATACAGGAAGTGAATCAGGTTAAAAGTCCACATTACACTTCATAATTCAGTCATAACAAATTGCTTTTAGCTGTGAGGATTTCCATTTTCTACCTTGTAGTTTTGATTTTTTTTATGAAACTCCAAATTGTGTTAGCATAGGCAGAAACTTGCAGCTCTGCATATCAGAGCTCTTCAGACACAACAACTAATACAAAGAGTTAAGCTACACTAAATTAGCCTAGTACAAAAGCATAGCTGGTTTATGTTACATCTACTCAGACTAAGGAGGAAATTAAAAACTTAAAAATCAAAACTGTCCTATTCCTGTGTTCTGCTTCAATGATTATTTTTGTACCTCTAGTTAAATAGTTAGTAGCTCAACTACTCAATTGTCTTCCAGCTGAATTCTCCTTCTCTTTATTCTGTCTCCGTAAGTTTTGAATTGCTTTCTACACATGGCCCAACTATCGTGCTTAGAAAAACACCTGATCCTGTGCTCCAAGTTTGGTGCTCTAAGCTCCTGTTTTTCATAAGTAAACATGTCAGGCACTTCCCATTTAAGAAAAATGGCTACGACTTTATTTTATGAAAGACTGAATCCATCCAGAATGAAATAACCCTGCCTGGAAAACGTTGACTAATACCAACCTACAACATGTCAAGTCTAAATCCTCAGAGGATTTAGGTGATGAAATGACTCATGTCTGAATGAGCACTTCTGGTGTCTAAAGTACTTGCCAGTTGAAGTGCTGCCTGTGCAATTTAGTTCTAAGTTCCCTTTCTCATAATATAACAGACAGATAGATCCAGGAACTCAGAACTAGAGAACACAGAACCACCACACCAAACAAGGAAGGATTTTTTACTGGAAATGCACACCATGTAAGCAAACTGAGTACTCAATATCAGAGCTGAAGGGATTCAAACTCCCAGAGAGAAACCCAAGACACTCCTAATTTTGGAAGGGTGTTCTGGGAAGCTTCACCATCTCTAGAAGTTGTTCCAGTGTCTGCAGGAGTTTCCTTTCATCCCTAAGCTTCTGTTCTGCTCTCATTTATACATGACCATTCGTGACGCACGAAGAAGTAACTTTAATCTTTTTCTGCTTTCTGTTGGTTTTTCACTATCACAGATACTATCATTAGATAAATACATTCATACCACTACAATTGTTGAGAAAATATAACAAATGCCACTGTGAGTCTTAATAATGCGACAATTTGCTTTCATTCAACACATTCACAGGAGCTTCAGTGGACACAGAATCATCCTGACTTCACCTAAGAGCCAATACTCTTTAAAATATAGTGAACGTTTATTTAAAAGTGTGAGAACTTTTGTAACAGAACAAAACAGTATATACATGTATTTTAGTCTGTTAATTTTTCTCAAGGAAATGCAGTGTTTTTTTTTTACTAAGCAAGTATTATTTCCAAGGAAATTCTAGCTGCACTAGTTTATCTAGCATTATCTAGCAATTGCATAATGCCATGCTGTTGATCCTTATAAAAATAGGTGCTTATTGCTTCCAAGAATACCAATACATGGTAATTTGATCTTTGATTATTTGGAAAGAGTTATGGATATTTGTGGATGCACCTCGTCAAGCTGTTATCCAGCTGCCATCCCATATACACAATTCTCATTACAGCTTATAGAAGTTGGAATTGGACCCTGAACATGAAGTTAGAGAGGATGGCATGGAATAAGGCCAATATTTTGTAGTCAGTGAGAACATCTGAATATATTTTCCACCTAGTGTGATTTGAAAGAAGTCTTTGCTGGATTTGGTCTAACCACTACTCATTTTTCAAAGCAATTTATTGTGTTGGCATTGCACAATACAAATAACTTTCTTGTACAAAGAAGGGCTGAGGATATTTTGATTGACACTATGTAACTCTAAACGTAAGATTACACCTGTAGGTGACTTGTACTTTTGTGCTTAAATCAACTTAGCAGTATTTTAGTGTTTATTTCATGTAACATAAAGTAACCTAAAATTGTATTTACACTTGTTAGTGTTTGGAAAGTGATACACAAGATAAATTGAAAAGCAATCTGAAGATTTTAAAATGATAGCTGACAGGACAGTAATTACTGTACACCTACGGGACTGAGTTAGCAAGCTTGTGTTCATGCAAGTAATTTCTATTTGCATACTCCGATTGAACATGACTGAATATTAACAATCTGCCAAGATTGTCCTCAATTAATGTAATGCAAGCAAGAGGAAAAAAAATGCACAAAATGATGGATTGCAATGTAACAGATTAACCTCCCAGTGATTTTCATAGTGAAGATCAACAATTTATGTAAATATTAAATATTATATCTAATGTAGTATCAGTATACATTCATTACCAAAAATCATTGTCACATGAATAATTCTAGTCTTTTTTTGCAAAGGAATTGGCAAGAGTAATCTAGTATGAAGTTCTAGTAGGTGACAAAATACTGGAAAAGACTGACCTGTTACCTGATCTAGCAACTGGAAAAGTAGTGCTTTAAATTTCATGAAAAGATCAGAACATTTGTAATCATTCTTACTATAAAATGCAAAGGAAACGAAACGCTTTTGTAAAGCATAAGTACTACTAAACATCTGGTACTTTAAGACATGAATAATGGTTCTTTTTTATTTGGTTTTCAAGACTACTTATCAAGTGAAGTTATATTCAGTGGCCTGGGGCAATGTGAAATCAAATCAATCCAGTTAATTTAATTTTAATTACATTTTATTTAATGCAAGTTAAAAAAAAAAATGCAAAAACAGACTTAGTTCTATCAAAGACAAAGTTCTATTTAAGTGCAACCATTTGCTAAGTGAAACAATAAAATGGGTTTAGTTGCTTAAAATATATTATTAGGTCTAAGCAATAATAAAAGAGTTAACTCCTTACCTATCTGATGGGTGCAGCAAAGTGCTAAAAGGAAAGCCCATTCTCGTAACCATATCCTCCTACCAAACTCCATTTTGAGTGGAGTCTGGCAGAAGGGTGCCAGTGTAAGGTTGGTCAGGAAGAGTAGTTCACCTATGCTCCCTCAGTCTTATATAGCAGGTGTCTTTGGCTTCAGTCCCAGATGGATTCAGGTAATCCAGAAAGGTGGGGTTTGGGGGATTTTAGCAAATGAATAGGTAAACAGAGGATGCTTTTCTTTCCTCTGCAACTGGCCAATGGTATTTGCATTTTGGGAGGAGTATATGCATATACGTACATATATTTTGTTAAAGTTCAGCCTAATAAAGAAATAAACTGCAAATAAAATGAGACTTCCACAAAAGAAAAGGTCCTAGAACAAATAAAATTTGATGTTGTCTTACAGTTACAGTTACACATGTGGCACAGAAGTAACTAGAAGTTTTTCAATACTGTAAATGATGCCAACTGCTCCTTGGCAAAAGAAAACATAAAACCAAAAGTTTGCTGATTTCTGAAATTAGAGGAGATCTGTAGTATTTCAGATGGGGGGGACACAGTACTATGAAGTCACTTTGTGCCGTTCAGGGCAGCAAATCTCGCAAAAAGAACAGACTAACACCTTTGAAGGGTACTGCACTGTCACAGTGTCATACCGAGTGTATGCCATGAAAACCTCTGACACTGATAAGCATTAGGCACCCTTTTAAGGAACATTCATTAAGTCAGCTTTCCCTGGACTATATTCTGGTTTTGTTAGAGATGGGTTCAGACCTTGACATCTACTTCTGAATTTGCTGCAGTCTGATTTTTTTTATTTTTTTTTTTTTAACCTTCTCACAGAAAACACCAGTAACTTTACAGTCAGATAGCCTTACCACGGCTTTGTAGGAGAGAAAAGTTCAACAGATAAAGGCCTGCAACCACATTCATTACCATTCCTGTGTAATTCCATTCCTATCTATGGGGAAATGAGCCCCTACGCGTTAGGGAAACAGACAATAAATCAGGCCTATTAGGCCCACCAGTTAATGTTTAACACTTTTTTTCCCCCCAAATGTTGACTTTTTGCAGTTCTATGGTGTTAACATTTCAAAAGTGTGAATGAACGTATACTTCAATAAACAGTCCAGCTATTTTGTGTCCCCCTCTTTTTCAGCTTGACATTAAAGGTAGGTAGGATAAGTTGCTCTGGGCAGATTTCTCATTGTCTTTTCAATGTCAACAGAGCTTACCTTAACATGGTTAAATATGGACAAAAAGTTTAAAGCTCTTTTAAACTGCTGTTTGGCAAAAAAAAAATTAGTGCACAGCCCAGTGCTTGGTGTATAGGTAACATTTGTCCTCAGTTCATCTTCAGTCTACTTATGCAAGAACATAGGTAGCTGATGGAACAAAAATCTTCTTCATGAGAGAGCTGCTGCACAGTGAGCAATTTAGCAAGAGGCATCTGGGAGATAGAATTGGGGTGGCTGTGTGTGGTCCCACAGGAGAAAAAAAGCAGCTAGAATAAAATCAATGCATGCTAGGATGTCTAGAAATTGCAGAAAGTACTTCCTTAGTATGGGGTAGTATTGTTCTCTGTGCCTGGTCAGACTGAGTTCAGCAGTCTTTACTGGTTTTTTTTTTTTTTTTTTTTCACTTTTGTTGAAGCAGAGGAAAAAGAAAAATTTGAGAAGGTGTCCTAATTGCAAAAAGTGAACATAGCTGGATGCCTAATTCCTGTGGATTCTTATGGAAATCCTGTCCTACAATTATAAATTCAAAAGAATCCTAAAAGAATAGGGGACTACAATCTCATACTCCATTTAGGATCTTACTGAACTGAATTGTCAATTTTTTCAGCCCCTATTTCCATTTATGTTTAAAACTAAATATATTGGATCCTTATTATTATAAAATAAACCCCAAAATGTGGAGTAATTATGGAGTATTATCTGGACTTTTGGATTGAAATCAGTGG